ATTAAGTTTGTTTTAGTTTAGGATTCTTGCTTAATATAAATACTTTTCCGTTAAGCAAGTTTAGGATCTTCTTTTTACTTTTTCTTAATTCTTTCTTAGATTTTCTCTCTCTACTTAGCTTTTAGATTAGTTTCTCTCTCTTATACTTTGTTCTTAACTTTATTCTTAATTCCAGATTTCTTTGGTAACGATTTCTCTTCTCTTAATCTTAGTTATTTATTTTATTCCTTTGATCATGTCTTGTTTTATTACTTTGAATTTGTTTAGATTTAATTATGTGTGAGTAGTTTTATTTCTAGGGTTTATGGGGATCCATAATTAATATGAAGGGGTAATTTATTGTTGTTATTTGTCAATGCTAGATTAATTTCCTATTGATTGATTTAATGCTCAATAACTAGGTTTGCGCAGATCTTTTATGCATGAGTTTGACAATATTGATTTGATTCGAAAGATGAGAATTGATGTTTAGATTTAGTTTCAATAGGCAGGTTAATTTATAAATGGTTAAGTAGAGATTCGAGAGATGAGATTTAATATCGGTAAATTAATTGTGTGAATGTAATACGTAGCAAAAGCCCTTTATAATCTGATTAATTTATGCATTGATAATTGATTATTATGTTTTACCCTGCAATATTATGTATTGGTGAACCTATACCCTAGACCTTTTATTTATTGTTTTCTCCTTATTCTTAATCTTCGTAGTTTAATTCCTTTTGATTATAATATTTTGGTTACTTTATAATCTAGATTATTTTAATTGATTAGGAATAGAAAGACTCGTTTCTTTGTGGATTCGACCCTACTTCCCTATCTACATTAGCTAGAGGATTTAGGAATTACTTTTGATTAGGTGATACGACTATAGCCTGTTAAGGTTCTAGAAGACTATAATCAATCCTAATTGCATTAGGAATGATAATTCATAATAGGCCCTCCTCTAGATCATTGGGCCGCATATAAAGATCAAACTGGGCCCAATTTAGTATTTTGGCCACAACTTCCTCATTATTTAATTCAAATTCACTACACCCCCCCTTTAGCCATTAATACCTACACCCCTCCCTGAAATTACAATAAAACCCTTACCACACCCCACTAACCATACAACCTGCACAGCTGCACTTACCCCCCACTAACTAACCACGGTAATTGCAAAAAAAATGATAAAATTCAAAAACATCATTTCAAATCCATTTTCGACAAATTCTCTCTCATCAAAACCAAAAACTCGCAAGAAACTCACTATAAATTGCTTCAAAATTACTGCAAATTGCATCAAAAGTTCTAAAAATGTCTGACATTCGAGATTAAGTTCTTCAATCGCAACTAGATTCCAAAAAAGAAGAGTAAGGCTTTGTTCATTTTAGTAGAATTTTGAGTGCAAACCCTAGATTTTATATTTTAATTTGTGTTTTGATATTATAAAACAAAATTTACTATGATTACACTTATTTTTGTGCAAAATAGACTACAATCTACTATATTTGGTGGTATTTTTGTAGAAACGAAACAGAGAAGAACACTTCGAAGGTTCCGTCGGAGAAGACGGTTGCTGAACAAAAGTTCATTTTCATTTTGATAGATTTTCATTATGATATTAGTATATGATCATTTACATACTTACATCTACTAGGGTTCATTCTTGAGAGAAGATTACCCTAATTTTGTTTATGATCTTTACATATTAATGAATGTTTACTGGTATTTAAACATATGTTTATTTGAATGTAAATACGTACATGTTCATTCTCATATTGAAAATATCCACATAGATTACAATAATACATGTTTAACTTCATATTAAATTATATGCTCATGAGCGTCATTTGAATATTATATTACATACATTTTACCTCTAATATTGATAGATGCTTATTTGAATTTGATACATAGAAGTTCATTTGGATATGTGTATATTCACACATATATTGATGTATGTTCATTCACATGTCAAAATATGTTCAAAAATAAATCACATATTGTTCATTCATCATAAATCTTTGATGATTCTATTTTAAAATATGATTCTATTTTAAAAAATGTTCAAAAATAAATCACATATTGTCACTTACATTACGGAGCTATATAATTCTTAATTGATTTTTTTTCAATGTGTATAAACAGTGACGATGATGATATTCCTATTCAATCAAGAGTGAATAAAATACAATTGATCCTCAACTCTTAAAAGATATAATAACAAGTGTCCTTGTTGAAAAAGACATGTCTGTAATTGCAAGGTATAATAATCATATATAATCATATATTATATTTTCCTTTTGACATGATGTTTTGAAATTCTTTTGACACATATATGTGTCTATGATTGTTCATTTAAGTATACAAAAATGTTCATTTCAATAACACTTTGATATAGATTCTTTAGGTTCATGTAACATAAATGAAAGATAATGTTCATTTATGAAATTCAAAAATATTCATTTTAGTATATATGTAGTTTTGTTTATATGCGGCCTAAATTATAAAGTTTCATTGCTCTGAAATAATTTGATCATATATTAAATTCAAAATGTTCATTTATATATAAATTAATGTTCATATTTAAATACATGTTTGTATTGGTTCATTTCAGTATGCATATATGATCTTCCAGATCGAGAGTAAGGAAGACGATTCTGGAGACATGTAAGTGTGTAATCTACATGATTTGAAAGTGTTTATTTAATTAGTCACTTACATTATGGAGTTTGTAATTGCTAATTGATTTAATTTTCTTTTAAAAAAATTGTGTATGAATAGAGATGACAATGATATTCTTATTCAATGAATAGTGGATAAAATACAAAAACAGCGCCAAGCTAAATCTCATATAGTTGATCCTAAACTTTTAAAATATATAATAACATCAAGTGGTCGGTCCCGTTGAAAAATATGTGTATGCAATTGCAAGGTATAATGATCATTTATAATAGACTATATGTTCATTTTGACATGACGTTATTCTTAAAATTCTTTTGATATATGTGTGTGTGTGTTTATGATTGTTCCTTTAAGTATACAAAAATATTTATTTGAATAACACTTTGATATAGATTCTTTAAGTTTATGTAACATAATATAAAAATAATGCTCATTTTTATATAGATTTGTGAACACGTATATTCTAAATTCTATATAGAAATTTATATATGCTCATTTTATTTGGATACAATGATCATTTATATAAAAAAATAATGTACATTTTTGTTATGCCAATTGAACATTTATTTAATATGTAATATCAATATAACATATATATATACAAACACTATTTATATTGTAGTGATGTTTCATATAGGGTAGGTGATCGAAACATAAATTAAAATTTAGAGATGAAAATTCTAAACCATACTTATAATTATATTAACATTGTAATTTGTTTGGATTACAGATAAACCAAATCAGGAAGCTGAGAATACAGTACATTGCTTAATTGATGCTATTACAGAAGCTAGAGGCAATAGAAGAAGAGCAAAGAAGATTTATGGAAGCACAAATTACTAAAAATATTGATCTTTTCAAATATATGTTCATTTATGGATTTCTAAATGATCAAGTACATTAATATTCATATTTTTTTAATTCATTAGTATAATTATTGGAATGAAATGTTCTTCAACAAGAAGTCATATGTTCATTACCAGAATATTTTATATTCAATTACATAACAACTATAACAAAATGCAATAAAATGTTCATAACCAAAAGACAAATGCTCATTGCTAAAACTAAATATGTTTGATTACATATCAGTTATTAGAAAAAGTTTAAGCTCTAACAATATAGTATATTGTTTCCATCCAAATTCTTAATTATAATTGTTTGCCAACTTATTCGCTACCTTAGTATCAAAAAAAGCTAACAACCTATCATACTTAGAATAAATATGTAAACTACCACATTAATTAAACACTTTGAATTGAACATCTCTTGAAACACTTGGAGGTCGGAACTTGAAAGCACACTTAAAGGAACTTGATATTTCTTGAATCTCTTGAAGGAACTTGGCACAAACATTTCTTGAATCACTTGAAGATACTTGGCCTTTTTTTGGAGCCGTTGGAGGATGTTGATTAATATTATTCAAAATGATCATTGCACCTTTCATAAACTTCTTCTTCCTTACCAAGCAACACAGATTTAGTTACTTCAATTATTTACAAAAGAATTTCATCATTATTACCCACTGCACACAAATGAACATAATTAGTAACATATATGTACAAATACAAAACAATAAACAATAAAAATCTTAAAGATCATTTAGCATTTATCAAAATAAAAAACAGCAAATAATAGTAATTACAATAAAAATAAATTACTAATTATCAAAATATTTCATGTAAATAAAAATACCACAACATGTACATTAGCATAAATGAACATGATCATTTAGCATTATGAAATTGATCAAAATAATAAAAACTGCATAAAAACACAAAAACGTATCTACAAAATTTATAGAACATATTAACAGCATAATTGTTGTTCATAGCAATAAAATATAATCAACCACATAAAACACCTACTTATTAACAATTAAGAAATAAAAACTACAAAACAATTATAGATTAGTACAATAACAATCAATATATGAGATCGAATAAATACAGAAATTGTAATACAAATTAATGTAAAATATAAATCAAAATCAGCAATCAATAAACAAAACACAGCTAACTAACTCACATAGATCGAAATGGTAAGTGTGCCAAGCGGCGTAGAGTAAGGCGAGAGTGGGGAGAGAAAAATGGTGAGTTTGAAATTGGGTAGGAGTTTTGAGTGGTATTCTGCGATTTTCGGGGGGTTTTCGGCGGTTTCAAGGTGGTGGATGTGGTGATTATGGTGGTTTTGGGGGTGGCTTTTGGTCCGCGGGGTGGTTTTAGGCATTGGGGGGTTCCGGCTAGCCGTTTTCAGGGGTTTAGGGTGGCTGCCAGCCGGTTTTTGGTGGGACTAGGGTAAGAATTATGGTTTCATGTTGGGTGGGTGTGGCTGGTACATGGTTTTTTTTTTTTTTTTTGTTTCATTTGTAATTTTTATATATTTTATTTTTATTTTTATTTTTTAACCACTTACAAATTAACATGTGGCATTAAAACCTATCAAAATCAGTTACCAACAAGTTAGGGACCAATAAATAAAGTTCCCTATAAAGGTGGAATTATTAAATAATATTCTAAAGATGGGATTATTAATAGCATATCGGCTAAAACTGGAATTATTAACATCAATTTTTCCTTTTAGAAATGGGCAGAAAAAAAAATTTAGTGTGAGATTTTTGTGTCAACTATGTTTTAAGATATTTGTGTTTTAATATAGATATAGTTATAGATTACACAGGCAGTATACTAGTAAAAGGTTTAGGATATCAATTGTGTGTCTACTTTCTTATTGTGTTAAATTGAATTTCAAATTCAATGAATCATGAAAAGGCATAAAGTAATTAAAAATTAAAACACATAATAATCTCAATACCTCATATTTCAGTGATGCAATGATTACATTAGCACTATGAAAAACAACCTTGGTTTAAAAGTGTTAATCAAGTTGAATTAAGCTAAGCATAAAGAGCTCTTAATAAGGCAAAAATTTAATATGATTGGTTAGTACAGATAACATACGAGTATTCATAATTACCACTATGATTCAAAATAATTTACCACTAAAATGGTCCCACACTTACTCTTACCCCCTTTTAATCCCAAACAAACTTCTTTATACAAATAATCATATAGCATCATCAAGTGGATTGTTTTGTGCTAATTTTTTTAGATTTTTAATAATCATTACAAGTTTTGTGTTTAGCCAATTAACAAAGAACTTGGGAAGCCATCCTGCTGGATCTAGCTGTATAGAAAACAAAAGAAAAAAGAATTAAATATAAGTAAGACATTCTTGAAATTAAAGAAAAATAAAGCAAAAAATAAAAAAACTCTAAATAACATTTTAATCATAATGTTTTTGAGCTTACCATTCTCATCTTATTTCTAAATTCAACTTATTTTAAAAATATGATGGTGCATAAACATTGTTGACGTGGTAGAATAAGTCTTATATAATCACGGTCTTATATATATGTGACTGTGAGACCACTTATAAGACATCTTAACTATTTGTCAATAATACCCATTTTTCATAAACTAGGCCCTGTTTAGTTTGATGTAAAAGGTTTTCATGGAAAATTAATTTTCCATTTTTTCTCATTTTCCTTTGTTTGGTTTGTTAAGGGATGGAAAACAATTTTTTAAGGGTGGAAAATTTCATCTTTAATAATGGAAAACATTTTCCTTCAAAAAACAAGAGAAGCCACATTTTCCTCTCTCCTCCTTACCTCTTTTTTTACTTCCCTCTCATTCATCCCTACATTTCCACTCTTATTTTTTATTTTTCTTGGACTTTTCTTGTATGCAACCAAACAAAGGAAAACTAATTTGCAATTATGTTTTTCCTTGAAAATATGTTTTCCATGAAAACTAATTTTCCATTGAAAATGTTTTACATTAAACCAAACGGGGCCCTAATTGCATACCATTTTTGCTTTGATGATTGTTACCCTTTATCTAATCAATAATTGTTATGAAGTAAATTATAAGGAGAAATTCCAAGTTTCTCAACATGAGAAACAAACTATGTTTCTTAAATGACAAAATCGTAAATAAAGCATTTTTTTATTGGTCTTTGAAAGTAGTGATTTTGCTATAAACCGCTATTAAAGTAATTATTTTGCCTGTAAATTTACAAATTAGCCTATTGAGAAACAAATTTGGTTTCTAATGTTGAGAAACTAGAACGGCCTCTATTATAAGACTGTCTCGCATAAGATGTTGTACATGTTATATTACATTCTTGATAACAGCCAATATAAGTGTTTCTACCAAATTTGTATAATTTCTTTTTCTCAAAATTCTTGTATTTTATTTAAAAATTGCTTCCAGTTTTTAAAAGCTGATGAATAATACCTGAACAACATAGGTGACCATGCAAGAATCATCCTCAAGCTTCTCCACAACCCACCCAGATTGCAACAATAAACCTCTAATAGCTTTGTTTTGTTTAGGGTATAACCCAGCAGCTATCTCTTTGGGTAGTGATGCTACTGCTACCACCAGGGTGCCATCATCCATTGTCTCACGTCGCTCGTATACAATGAACTCTCTGTTCTTAAACAAAGGCCTCGAGGCATCCCCGAACCTTAGACGTATTATGCTTAGATTGTCCTCAAGATCTTTTATGTATCTTGCCTCTACCAAGTCATGATCCCATTGCTGTTTTGAAAATTCAAATTTTTATTATAAATTTATACAGGTTACAGTAACAACATAATTTCACATACTTAAAACTTTAATTTGCATCTAATTAGAAGATGCATTGACTGACAAAATCAACAGAAAGAAAATAATACAAACATCAACCCCTCTTTGGAAGAAATGACGAGTAGATGAACCATTACTTTGTACTTGTATCATATAACATATAAGGAAAGGTGATAATTTTTTCCGAACATCTTTATATAGTACTTCGTACATGTAAGGATAGATTCACGTTAGACCGAGGGAGTATCAGTTTTATATATTTTTTTCTGTTTCCTAGGAGATTAGTTGAGGGGTTGAGAAGGTCAAAGTATTAGTTCAACTACTAAATTCATATGACAAAACAGAAAAACAGACCTTTGCAGCATCAATAGCATTGGCAACAGGAATGAACTGCTTAGAAGAGACTGATCTGAGTAGCCAGCGACTACGAAAGATATGAAATGATCCTGAACGCCGCTTTGATATTTCCACGTCTCCATCTAATGAAAGAATCTTCCACCCATCATTCCCATTTCCATTCCTGCACGAGTCTGAGGCTGAAAGAAGCTCCTGTATACAGTTCTCGCTTGCATAGTGTACGTATCTCCTTAGCGAATCCTCGCTAATAGACCTTGCAACAGGCGGAACACAAATTATTACTGAATGATCAAGGCCGAGACAATGAAGACAGAAACAGAACAAAAGAAGGAAAGAAAGTTACCATGAGCTGTTACAAGGTGCTGGGCTACTCATATCATCAGGCATAATTAAAACACTGTTTTAGATATTCTGATCACTTCTTTTGCATATCACACAAGCTTTAGAAAAGAAAGAAGGCTATATACCATCAAGAAAAAGAATTGAGATGGAGAAGGTAATGGTGGTGGGGTTGAAGATTAGTTTTTGAGTGGCATAAGGATCATGGAATAATTTTATATTATAAGGTGGGCCAAAATCATTTGATGCACATGCAAACGCCAGGAGCCAAAAAAAAAATTAATTAAAAAACAGATGCATGATTAGAAAGCCTTACCTTGATCGATTCACCAATTTAGGAAAGAAAAATACAGTCTCGTGGAATCTTGTTAGATTCATCTCTATATGCCTTTTCCATGTATCTTTTCAATTTTTTTAAAGATGTGTAATTGATGTAGGAGACCGTCAAAGTCAGAATGTTGCAAGTAATTTAGATCAACGGAGGAATAACTAACAAATGATTCAAGTCTCACATAGACTTTCTGTTATCAGAAAAAGAAAAGATTCCTTCTTTGTAAAAGAGCAGCATAAAATTTAAGAAGCAGATAGAAAGAGAGCACATGGAATGCTGCTTAATTTCTGAACACAGAAAAAACAGGAAAGAGAAACAAGTATAAATGCTAAAGCCAGAAGTATAATATGCATAAGTTAACTCTAAAACTTGCCTGTTTATGGGTGAACAAAGGCCCTACCAAATAAAATCATCAAAAGGTCCCAAAACCACGTGCTTAAGAAGCAGCCAAAGTTTACAAACAAGAAATGACAGCAAAAACAGGCAATCTTTCTCTTTGGGAAAGCTCCTTACTGGAGTAACAACTAACCAGTACCATCATGTACTTTCCATAGTCATTTTTTACCTTAGTTTCTGCCATTGATTTAATATCATGTGTTTTTTTACAGAGGTTCATAGAAGTCATTAATAATTGGGTAACTGACCATTAACCAAGGCTTGGACTATCTGCTGATTATCGCGATGCTCTTACAGGGATATCATGTGGGAAGCCCTAGATTTCAATGAAACTGGACATGAAATTTGCGCAATGATAAAACCAACATAAGTACAGTAATAGGAATCCATAGAACAATTATCGATAAATACCATTTTTATTAGTAATGTCAGTAGCTTGTCATTAACAAATCACTAGTACTGGATGATTATGAATCGAAATGAAACAGATCAAACTAATGATTAGCTCAAATAAAATTTATTATTCTTAGCATAGTAACAGAAAATAGACTGGCAGACTAAGACACTACAAGTTGATTATTTTAGTTGCCTTTTCTGAAACTACGGAGACTTTACATCTTTGAAGCATATATGACGACCTTGGAGTTTGTTCATCCTTGAATCCTAGGCCATCAAGCCCACTATTATTGTCTTCCGTGTTGCTTCTAACTGCATCAAAATCCCGGAAGAGTATAAATTTTTAACTGCAACTATGACTCTGGCTTTTATATATCCAAGAGACCTTTGGCTTTCAAGCTCTCTACTGTCTCCTGTATTGCTTCTTCGAGTGGCGTAAAAACTAGGCCAAGATTGATCAATCTCTTGGCTGCATCTCTGCATGCCACCAGACCTGGTTGGGTTTCTTCAGTAAACCTGACATTTCGAAGCAGTTCAATTAAAAGCAAAGGTTATTAAGCCTCAAACGCTAAAATTGAAAAGATAGATATTGAGGTAAAGCAACAACAGTACATAAATTGCAAGTAACAATGCTTTCCATCAACATATTTTTTCTTAGTTCAACACCTTTTTGCACTTTCCTAATTTTTGAGTTTTTCAAGCCGTTTCCAGACCATAAGGGTGGAACTTTCCCAACTACTTTTGAGTTTACTTCCTGGTGAAAATCCTATTAAAATGATTTATACACTCTCTTAATGTACATAATACCTCATGCATTAGACCATCTCCAAAGGTGAGTGAGACTTGAGTGAGGTTTTTAGGAGAGAGAGAGATTATTTTTTGCAAAAGATATAAATAAGTTGGTATTTAAATTTAGCAACTACAAAAGAAAGTTGTTAAAGTTGAGTCTCACTAATTAGAGGTAAAAAATTAAAAAATAAAAAAAAATAAAAAAAATAAAACATTTTGTATTTCAATACTTGAAGTTGAGTCTCACCAATGGAGATGCTCTTACCAACAAAATTTTTGTAATATCTAATTTTATTGTCTTCCTATAATTCTTTCAAACAAATCTTCCATGTAAGATATTAGAAAAAATTTACCTCTTATCAAGTTGCTACATGTTTTCACAAGATTAAGAGAGAAAAAGTTCAAATATTTATCCATAAAAGTGTATATTAATATAGCAGCACTGAAAATGATAAAATTGTCAAGTCAGCTAAAATCTTTAGTTTTACAGAATCACAGATTGCTAACCAAGTGTTACAACATGGTTATTGTATTAACAACACGTATTATAGCACAGTTTAGATAAGTAGTGGAATTTAAAAGTTTAGAAGACATGTTATAATGTAGAGAAAATTAGGGTCGAATTCTTTGGATGATGTTATAATGTTATCCACTAGGACTAAAAAAACCAGAGCTTTAGGCTAGGCTCACAACTGCAAAAACAGAGTTAAATACATGAAATGTGAAAAGTGTTACCCTTGTAAATTGTTGGTCTTTTTCTTTCCTAATTAAATGATTTAATGAGTAGTACTACAACAAGGACCAAATCAGCAGCAGTGAACATTAGATATAATAAATACTAATTTAGCCTTATTAGAACCATAAATGCAAGCAAGGAAGGTTACGAAAGAACTCAAAGGAACAACGAAAAGTTTTTATTTGTAATGGTAACATCAATCATCATAAGGCCCAAAATTCCTGACGAAGTCAAATGAGTGTTTTTGATGAAAAGCACTATACCACTACAATTTCAAACATCATTTACTCAACTAATATTTTCTATCTTGAAAAAAGGAAGGGGTTTGCAACATTCCACATGGTCCATAAAGTAATCCAACTTTTTTTTGTGTGTTTTCGCTTTCTGGTGATGTTGGTGGTGCTGTGCAGTGACCACATGATATCTGGTGTGTAGTGGCTTGCCAAAAGCAAAGAAACTAAGCTGCTGGGTAGAATGATCCTAAAATCTCAAGAGATCTACACTAACAAACATAATGAAACTGCTGAAAGGAAAGCCATGCCCATATCTTTACTTCTTGCCATTTAAAATTAGAGGGAAAAATAATGTTAATAATAATAATTTTAAAAACACCATGAACTGCTTAGGGGAAAAAACAGAAAGAGACGGGAACGGATGTATCAGAATCTGTAATAGAATAAACAAGATGGAAGAAATAAACATGTGGAACCATTGTTCCCCTGAACAAAACAATACAGGCTTAATAACATGAATCGCACCTTGTGTCAGTCACGAATAATCATACTATAGGCCAACAGACAGACCAGAGGAACAAAAAACAGACCACGCAGTCACAGGTAAACAATTAGCAACAACTTCTCTGTGGATATCTCAGCATTTTTTGATCTCCTATTAAACCATATGCACCAAAACATATATCAGGGAATCTGACATTGCATCATCTTCTCTTGATCTTAGTCAAAACAAACTTGTAGATCCTAAGGAACCCAGAAAACCAACATCACAGAATGCACCGCTAAAAAAACCTTCCCTACAGATGGTGAGTATCAAGTATCAACTAAACAAAGATATGTATGCCCACAATTCGCGATTTTCCATAAGATTAACAAACAGAAAATCATTAACGACCCTTAAATCTAACATGTGGCTTATATTTAGAACCTTATATCTCCAATATACAAGCACCATTGACTTCTGACAACACTATGAGGAAAAGGGGGAATAAATAACTGTTAAACTACCATTTAACTATTCAATTAACATGAAGGACGATCCATACTGCAAAGCCTTCCATCAAAATTAAGAGGACCCACCAAAGTACTAGATATTATTTTAAAGTCATGCTGATCTTAACTACAAAGAATCAGGATTTTGAATTTTGATTAATAGGGAAATATTTCAAGATATAGAAGCCATGTACTTCAATCTCCTAATCACTTCCCATTATTGAAAAAAAGGTTAACTAAATCCAAACCACATTCATATCAATCACATGGCATTGTTTTAGAATACTAGATAAGCTTAAGGGTTAGATTTTCAACTATTTGCCCCTCAGACCACAACACAACTGATTCTTTATCATGCTCATTGCTTTCATCAACAAAAAGAGGCAATTTTTTTTTTTCTTTGTAGGTAGAAGTGTTGATGAAATCAAGAGTGAGAAACATAATATGAAAGAAAGCAGCCGAAGGCTACAGAGATTGGCTTAATACTCTTTAGCTTTCTGCTATTCGGTCTTTTTGTTATTTATTCTCTACTATGTCTGCTTTTGTCTTCTGTCTTTCTAGTTGTTTAAGCGTCTTGAGGGGAAGGGGATCATTCGTAGTAAGTTTGTCATCTTTCTAGATTTCTTAGGTTATATTACTAGTTTTATTAGTGAGAATAAAACATACCAAAAACATAATAACAAATAATAATAACTACAGAAAGGTGATAAAATAGACCTGTGAATCGGGTACTCAGGGAAGAGTGCAGAGACTTTAGCTGCAAAATCACCAAACTGGTAGATTCCATTAGTGCAAAGGTACCTCCCTGAAGCAGAAGGGGTCTCAAACAACAGGACTTGAGCTCTTGCCACATCTTTAACATGCACTGCTCCTAACCAGTGATACTCCTGAGTCTCCTCTGATCCCTGAAGCAGCTGCTGCAGAACAGCACAGCTCGCATTCAAACCTGGCTGCAGCAGCTGCCCAAGACACGTAGCTGGATTAATAGCCACCACGTCTAGGTCATGCTTTTCAGAGAATTCCCAGGCAGTCTTTTCTGCCAATGTTTTAGATACTGGGTACCATTTCTGTGATACGCAAACATAAACACTACCAACTCAACAATCACCATGAAATCCAGACAATAAACATCAGCTTGATCGTGTAAAGTTAGGTCATAAGATCCATCAAATTTGGCATAAGCAGGAAAAGTATTAGTTAAATTATGAAAAATCATTATGTTGAAAATGTAATTGAGATAAATCTAAAAACATCATACACAATATCACTTGTCTCTTATGCTATAAAAACTCTCTGGTCAAATTGAAGGGGATTTAATTAATACGAAGTATAAAACAAATTAAATTCAAACTCAGATAAGTCTAGGAAAATTAACTTCATATCAATTTAGAAGAGATGGTTGTTGATAGAATAATTTTTTATTACATTTTCACACCAAATAAAAATACTTCAAACAAGTTAAATAGCACCTTAATAAGATATCACTAATCCAATGTGTACAATCAATTAGACATTTTAAGGGGATATATCCAAGTAACAATTTTCACAATTGAATGACTGAATGAGTACAATTAGATTCCCCCTTTGGCCCTTTCTCAACAAAAATCAAGACATTCCTCACTTTAATTTTTCTATTGTTTTAAGCTTCAATCATTCTAACTCCTTGATTAATAAATCCAATAATTTTAAAATAACCACATACTAATACAACTTTTTCCGACATACATTAGAACCTTGGATGGTGCACGTGCAACCAC